TTCAGAGTGAGTAAAATCAACTGCAAGGCTTTTTAGGCAAGAATGAATATATTTTAATTTCTCTGTTTTCATCAGATAAAATATTAATCACACCTTTACAAATTTTCTTCTGGGCTCAAATAATAAAAGCCTTCAACTCAGCACTGAACTTGAACCTCTTGACATTTTTCTTAATAAATCCACATGGAAAGTGTTCTGATCCCAGTGAATACATTTTAATGCTTTTGGCTCAACTGTCCTGATCCCCCCAAAAAAGAAAGAACTTGACCTTTGCATCTATTATAACTTTAAAGAAAGGAAACTTTAAACGTATCATGGAAGCTAATATTAAAAGAAATCAATCATAAAATCTACTCAGCACAATAAATGTTTTAATTAGTTTGAAAAGTGATGACTCCTTTATTATTTTGAAGAGAGATTATTATGAATCAATGGCTCAAAATGAAGTCTGGGACTAATGATATCATTGGAGAATCAGAGTCTGTTCTTGTATTAAAGAAGTCTTTATTTTAAAAGAGAGATGAGCTTGTCTACACTCCATTTGGAGTATAGGGTCATAACCTTTTCAGACTATCACTCCTCATTATCAGTTGCCAGCTCCACTCTTAACCTGTTTTAAATTCAGAGTGGTTACTATCAAAGACTAGAAATCCCAGTCTGCCCTGCTATTTAACCTATAGCTGCTGAGAGAATAAATAGATTCATATCTTCCCCATGGGTAATTGAACAAAAGTGAATACAATAACCTTGGCCAAAATTTGAACTCAGCATGCTGATTCCTGCTTAGTTTTTCATAGTTTTAAATTCAGAATTTTTTCTCTTAGACTGGATTCATACCTTTCTCCATGGTATTAATGCAAAGAAAGGCTGCAGACTAGGATAGAACTTGAACTTGCCTATTGGGTCTTTCACTCCAATAATCAGAATACAATATGCATATCACCCAGTCTAGTTAAAGTTTTATTTAAGGTTCAAAGATTGTGAGACTTTAGTATTAAATTAAATAGTTTTATTTTGCTTCTTAAAACATTATTTTGTATTTTTACTTTCATAAATTTTTATCTTGCATTTTTCTCTTTCTTCTATGAGTTATGTGTTGTTTTCCTCTGTTTCTTTTGCCTACAGTATGTCCTGTGAGTATCAAACTTTCCAAGTACTCTTTCCTCATTCCTAGAAATGTCAACTGTTTCATCCTGATTCTAAGTATAAATGTCCTTTTGTTTCCATTTTCTCTAAAACTTTGTTGTTGTTCATATGTTTGGTCCATGGTACTCTCAGCATCCTTCTGTAGAACCTATTTCTATTGTTTCAAGTCTTGTCTTCCTTTGTGAGGAGATTGTCTAACATTCAAATATAGGAGAACTGATATTACATAACAATTCAGTACTCTTTTCTTTGTTTCTAACACAATTTTCCTGTTTCTTAATATTTTGTTTAGCCTTTTGAAGACGTCTTTCACTATCCCATGTGAATATATGCCTTCAGATTTCAGTGTCCTCTGTTAAAACAATTCCCAGATATTTAAATTTTTGTATTTGTTTGATTTCGGTGTCTCCAATTTTTTATTTTGCATGCTGAACTGTTCCTTTTGCTAACAACCATACATTCCGTCTTCTTGCAATTGATGTTTAGTCCTTTCTTTGCTCTTTCTTTCACTACTTTCTGTAGGAGTTCTTGTACTTTAATGAAATATTGTCTCGTGTTATCCTCCAGGAGGAAAGACCTCTTTCTATTGACCTCTTCTATCAAAAATGTTTGCTACTTTTGATGCATCAGTTTAAAATCATAATAGGACTCTACCATGATGACCTCAGAAACTAGCAATAGTCTGTCAAGGGCTACTCTATTGCAACACCATTAAATATTCATGATACTATCCCAAAGATTAGTCTACCTTTCTCATTGCCTTGTTAGTGTTGGTTAAGTATTTCCATGAGAACCCAAGCTGTAAACCAGACATCACCTCTATATCTATCCGCAAATATTACTATTGAAAAATCATTTTTCATGTACATCTTCAGGATGTGGTGTAAGAAATGGTGGCTCACATTGAGAAATCAGAGAGCCAAATTCAAATTCTACTTGGGTTTGTTACATTCATTTTCATGTAAATAGCCTTGGGAAAGGTCTGAATCCATCTCCTCCCACTAGTTATGGATTAAATAGTAGGTCTTAAATCAGAAAAATCATTGTTATTCTCAAAATAATGTTAATTCCATATTCACCCACTAAATGTAAAAAGAATTACAATCCAAAAAATGTTTTGGCTTTAAATAAACTGTTCTAATGAGCTCACCAGTTAGGTACATCATCTGCATAAATTTATGCTTATTAGTAGGTTGACAACTTGATCTTACCGCTTTACTGCTGAAATAGTTACATGTAACCATAAGTTCTATTCTAATAATTTATTTTCTCGCAATTCTTGACTATGGAACTCTCTTCCTATTTCTTGTTTCCTTGCCATCTACAATGTTCAAATATTTAAATGGAACATCAGTCACCATCTTCTACCTTCCTAAACCTCTGTTCTTTTATTGTACTTTCTCCTTATTAAAGTCTTCCTGTTCTCTTTCACCTTCAATAATCCTTTGTGTCTTAGTGGCTTTATCACCTTGCATAGGGTGAAATGCTAAAAAAAAAAAATAATTTGCAAAAGGTTGATAAGCTGTAAAAAATAAATCAATCATATACTTCTTCTTTGTGATGTTTACTTAAAGGTGGCAGTTTGGTTGTTTTCATGTTTTTAGCCAATTTTCCTATATTCTGCATATTATCTTTGTGTTTGCATTCACCAGATTTTTTCAAATAATTTCTTGCTGGTCAATAAATTTTCTTTCTTATTAACACTTTTAATTTTTCTAATATCTCTTTTGTGATATTCTCAAAGCTATAATATTGTTTCTTATTCTTTTCTTGCCAATGCTTTTCACTTTTTTTTTTATTGTTCTATGATCTCTGTTCAACTCTTTTACAATTTCCCAAAAATAACTTTACATCTTGTTTCTCTTCGGAGGTTATATCTTTCTTACAATCCATGGAAGTCTTTATATATCTGAACTTAAAAAATTAATGTCAGTATTTATCCTGTTTTATATATATATATATATATATATATATATATTGCTGTATGATAAACAACCCTTGAATTGCTCAATAATTATCTTTCGCCACCAAATAATTAATTACAAGATATTTCTAATAAATTCAGATGTTATAAGCTAATATTTACATGGTATGTTTATCATTTAAATATAATCATACCCTGAAAATTTTAGCAACATCAGTTGGGTAATATGAAATTTCTTCTGAAAACATTGATATGCATAATAAAATCTTATATATAGTAATGGTTGAATTTAAATTTGCAAACTTCCACATTACTAACAGGTAGTTAGTGATAGTAATATCTTTTTTCAGTTGTAGGATTTTTTGTACTAATTCACTGGGAATTTATTTATATATTTAAATTCTTGCAAATTGAAAATATTCTTATAGTAGTAAAGAATTATCAGAATAAGCCATAATTTTTACAACATGGAAAAACTAGATGTACTTAATATATTTAGCTTTGAATGATATTAACGTACTATTTATTTCTGATTAACCCATATACTTCTGGTGTCTACATATCATGACCATTTTGCTTAGAGTTTGTATTTCTTTGATTCCAGATGAAAACTTGGAAATTTTCCTACATATTTTCACTTTTCAAAATTCTAATTTATAATTAAAATTTATATATATGAAAAAAGAAGACATCAGTTTAAACTGGCTCCAGAAGAATTGGTTTATGCTAATACCTTTTTTCCATATATTGTCACCATTTTGCTTACAGTTTGTATTTTTTTGATTCCAGATGAAAAATTGGAAATTGAAACTGATATCAGAAGTATATGTATTGAAGAAACTAAAATCTATCCTTATTATTATGACTTATTTGTCTCAAGTCTTATCTTTTAATAATACTTGGACCCAAATATTTAAAATTGTTTTATTAATAGTAATTACAAAGCTTCCTAAAAAATAATTTAATTACTTTGGCAATTCAGGATTAACGAAGTCCTTAGAAATTCAATAGAAGTATTATAACCTTCCATTAATACCATAAAATGTATTTTTTCTCAGGATTTAGCAAGTAGTATTCTGAACGCCTCTCTGAAGCAACCACATAGAGTTTCTGGTTTTAGGTAATTTTTGAAGATCACAAATTCATTTTTCAATATTGCCCTTTTAATTTGATTCATCAAGGTAAAAGTTTTTTATTTTTTATTTATACTATAAGAAACAAAAAAAAAACCTCATGACAGTAGATAAGAAAAAATTAAAAACTAAATGATATATCGATAATATTTTAAATGTGATGCTTGAAAACCTCATGGTACTAATGCTGTAACAATGTGGCACACAGTACTGATGAAAGGAGGGTTAACATTCATTTTACAAAAAAATTTCTCCTCTATCACTTTAGATAAAGGAAGACATTCTCTTCATCAAATCTCAACATACATATTTTGGTATTTTTTCTTTTTTTTAACTGAATCTAAGATTGAATTTTGGAATTACTTTTATTAGTGAAAAGTACTTTTTATAACTTAATTTTTTGAATAAACTGGCAGTTTGTCCAAGCACAAAATTCAAAATACTTTATGAACTTGGATTTTTGGAATAGTTTTAGGAAATGCTATTATTATTATCATCATTATAATCATCATCATCATGGCTGGGTGTGCTCTCAGAGTCACTGCCTAACTGAGCACCTGACCACTTTCCTCCACATATCTGGGTTGAAAATAGCATACCTTGTGCATCCCTCTTCAGGTTAAACCATAGCCAATATCTTCCAACTTGAAGGCTAACACAATAAAAAGACATTAAAAGAAGACAATGAATATATTTTTAAGAGTTGAATAATAAAAAATTGATTGTATGTCTAAAACTTCATTTTTTCATTCATTAAATATTCTTTTAAAACCAAATTAGAGCAATTTAACTATCTAATGATAAACATATCTGTTTGGAACACATTTCTTGAATATATTCTTTTTTATTCAAGTAAATGAAATCACTTTATAATTTTACTTTGCCCAGATTACTGAAGCCATGACTAAGTTCATGCCTAAAAGCTAACTTTAAGATCATGAAAGACTTTGTTAGTTAGACAATATGTAATTTATTTTCCAGTTTGAGAGGATATATTCATCTTTTAGGGAAGCTATTGACCAATGGCTACATCAGAAAACCAGCCAGGAATTCCTTGATTAAATTGGAATAATCAAATGGGGTGGCATGGTCAGTTAGAGTCTTTGTCTCATTTACTTGGAACATGATTTTTTCCCTTTTTTTTCACTGCTAATTCAAATCTTTCTTTCTCCCTATGAGGAGGGACCTTTCAGTCTGTATTATATAAGCTTCTTCAATAAGACAAATGAAGAACAAAAAAAATGGACAAAAAACACAAAACAAATGAGAAAGAATTTCCATAGACAAAACCATCAATTTGTGGAAAAGACAAGGATAAGATTAAAAAGAAAGAAGAAGAAAAAATTACTCTTGTTTTTCATTTTGTCTTTCTCCACTTCACTGTTCATCATTTTCTTTTGTCACAGGCATTTTTTCCACCATTTTTTTTTTTTTTTGTTCAGGAAGGAAGGAAGAACTGAATCTAAAAGATAGAATCAGAGTTCGTTAAAAGAAAAAGTTGAGTCATTCAGAGCTGATGATTATAAAGGTTCTCATTTGACGGAAATTTGTTTCTGCCACCAGAAAAATGCCAGACACAATGATAAGAGGTGGTCAAGAAAATCTGCAATCTTTGCATTTGGCTCCCCTTTCTTAACCTTATTTTTTCTTTTAATCAGATTCTTTTTTCTTTCAGGTTGTCCTTTTTTTTTCTCTTTATCTAAAATTCTTTTCAATCATTTTCTTTTTTTCATGTTGTGGGGGGGTCTATTTTCTTTGTATTTCTGACTTTCTAGTGTACACTTATTTCATCAAACTTTCTTTTCTAGAATTCACTCTTCCCACTTGCTTTCTTAACTCTTCTCTCTATATTTATTTTCCTCATTTTCCTTCTCCATTTTAATATTCTGGATTCTTTCTTTCTTTTTCATTATCCCTGTCTTTCTTACAATAACCTCCTTTTTTTCTAATTTTTCCTATATTTATTTTTACCTTTTTTTCATATTCATATTTTTACCTTTTTTTCATATTCTTTTCTTTTCTTTTTGTCTTTTGTTTCCTTTATTTTTCTTTCTTCTTTTCCCTTTCTCCATAAACTTCCTTTTATTCTGTTTCTTTTTTTTTCAAATACTCAGTTCCTTTGCTTCCTTTTTACTTATTATTCAATCTTTTTATCTTACCTTGTATCATATATTCTTTATTTTCTTTACTAAGTATTGATTTCTCTATATTTAACTTTATTTCTTTGTTTCTCTTCCCTTTTCCAATTTGTTTCTTTCTTTTCTTCTTTATTTTATTGCTTTCCTCCCCTGAAACTCATCATCTCAGTTGATAAATTCCTTTTTAGGAATCTATCTCTTATATTGAGTTTTTCATTGGATACTGCTAACATTCAAAGACATTTTTTTACAGATGCTCAATTCCTTTCATATTCTCTTTCACTCTCAACAACTAGCATCAACCAATAAATATGTTTTTTTTTTCTGAACCCAAGAGAAATACAGATCTACAATCAAGCAAAACCATTTTAGACTGAAGATATTTATCTTCAGAACAATGAAGAAGAAGAGTTCAGTTGCGCCAGATTACTGGTTCCAAAATATACAAGAAAAACTGCACTGGTGAAAAACTGAAGAATTCGGACAGGCAAAAGAAAATATATCTTTAATCAAATATTCACTCCAGCCAAAATGTCTCTCCACTGAGGAACCACAACATAGAATACCAATGAAGAAGAGTCAAAAATTGATGGGGGAAGAAAATTTTTCACACAGCTATGAAGAGAAAGAAGAATTTGAAGAAAAATTCTTCCAGTAAAAATAACAAGTACAGTTTTTCTGTGTCATGTTTCTCAGCATTTTTTTCTTTAGTCAGTCATCATTATTTTTTGTTCTTCATATTTTTCTTTATTTTTTTCCTTCCAAAGTTTGTAGCTTGTTTTTCTGGTTACAGGTAATATTTATTGCTGTATATCAAATATGGCTGCCCTTATTCAAAAAGACTGGCCAAGTATTTCTCTTTGCTTTTACCTTTTTTGTTTTTCAATATTCTGGTACGTCCATTTTCTCTTCAAACAGTGAAGGTTTTAAGGAGCTTGGAGCCAAAATCAAGCCTTAACAAAAATCTTTTCAAGGCTTCTAAAATCTATCTCAGCTTTCATTTAGTTTGGACTTAGACTTTTAGGCCTTTTCTTCTTTTTACTGTTTCACTATTTATTACTGTTATTATATTTATTTTATTTTTAATGCTTTTCCATTTTCTATTCTTTTAAATTCTTCTGTTTCTTTTCAGAATTTCTTTTCTTCTTGACTAATCTTGCCTTTTCCCGTGTCTTTTCACTTTCTGTTATTCAGGTTATCTTTCAAACAGTCTTTGGTTTTCATTCTTTTACATTTTCCTTCTTCTTCCCATTTTCAAGAATATCTTTCTTTTTCTTTTCTTTAACTTCTGATTGTATTTCTTTTCATCTTCCTTTGTTGCTACTCACTTTTTTCTTACATTCATCCTTTCTTTTACTCCCTCATTTTTCTTTTTCTATTTCCTTTTTTTATTTTCATGTCTCATTCTTTTTTCTTCTTTCCCCTCTTTCATTATCTTGACAATAATTTTTTTCCTTTACTTTGGAATTCATCTTTTTTCTTACAGATTAGCTTGCAGACATTCAAGAATATATTCTGCTATGTTGTCTGCAAATGAGGCTTCATTTTGGATAGAGTCCAGTGAGTCATCATGCCATTAATAACCTAGGGTAAAATATAAAACCTTTCTTATACCAACTTTTTCTACAATCAAATCAAAAGAAGACCAAGGGCCTCATATTTTCTAAAGGTATTGTAATGTTCCTGTACATTCTAAATGAGGACACCACTTTAACCAACTTCCTTATATAACCTTTTATAGATAAGAATTTCTACACAAAACAGAGTGTTCCCTTCATATGAAGCATTTAGTTATTTTAGGGTATAATTTAAACATAAAACTCACCTCAACTAATTTCGTTTCATTCCCAGAGATTTAAAATTAAAAAAAAACAGATATTAATTATCATTTAAATCAAAGTAATATTGTCATTTAAGTAACAACAAAGAGTTCAAATAATTTAACAAATACAAGCGACATATTTGAGGTAACAAAGGATTCTATAGAAGGATGCTGAGAATACCATGGACGAACATTTGAGTAATGACCAAATTTTAAGTAAGATGAAAACAAGAACACTTAAAGAATCACAAAGAAACAGTTGAAATTTCTAGGGCACATAATGAGGAAAGTGTGCTTGGGGAATTTGACACTAACAGGACATACTGAAGGCAAGAGGGACAGTGGAATGCAGTGAATAACCAACTTAACAAGATTGTGTAAAAGGTTTGTAAAATAGGGATTAGGAGAGATAGCAAGAACTACAAAGGACAGGAAGTTGTAGAGTGCCATGACTGCCAACTTCCTGAAGGAATAAGAATTTAAATTCAAGATTGCTTCCCAAGTTTGATATTTATTAGGTGATCAAATTTGATATTAATGTTTCATTTCTGATTAAAAATGCCTCAAGTAGAATCTTCAGTTAAGCATAAATCCATTAAATTATAGCTTTAAAAATATATCACATTTTTAAAAAAAATTAAATGCAATTTTCTTTAAGCTAGAATCAATAATGTGCTTCACAGCATGTATATGTGTATTTATTCAAAATATATACCTGTATATTTTGGCATGTAAGATGACCTTTAAATCCTAAAAGTCACCTTTAAAAATTGGGAGTCTTCAATACAATTCTAAAAAAGAAACCATAACTTTTGTCCATTAGTTGTTTTTCCCAAATGCTTACACACAATGGACAATTTCTCCATGAACTCAGTCCTCAAAAAACAAAAAAAACTTGTAAGGACAGAAGAAAAATTAAATAAAAAAAAAGTTAATTTTGTGCATAATATTTGATGAAACATGTATAAAATAGGATGCTGCCCATTTCCTCAGCTATCAATTTGTCTCATGGTAACTTTGAATGAGTTTCCCTGGACAGAAAAACCTGGAAATATTTGTGCCAGAGAGGTAGCAGAAATTTTGAAATCAGTCATATTGACCAGCTAAAATATGAAAGACAATAGCAAAAAGCAGCAGCAAATATCCTTATTGCTATGTCCTGATATCCTTGCTGTTGCACAATATATGGACATGTATGCAAGTCACTAGTAAGATTGAAGTGTCACATATGGCACAAACATAAAAAAAATGAATGAGTTTGTCAAATCCTTATATGTCAAAATCAATGGGATATATATATATATATGTCATAGACATGAGTGATAGAGATGACAAACTCCCACTCTCTGTAAAATTCTTTCATGGCATGTATTTTGAATAGCCTCTGATAACTAAGTCTAGATCCAAGCCAAAGAATGTGTGAAGGTGAACAACTGGTGCCTCATAACCAGCTGCTTCAGGTAGATGAAGCTTAACAGCTCAGGAAGGTAGTCCATCTAGGGAAACAAAAACCCTGATTTTAAGCCTCCACTGCCCTGTGATCATATTCAAATATGGAAAAGGCTATAGAAGTAAATCCATACAGAAAGCCCAAAGTGGTGCCCTGAAGGAAGGTGGATATCAACACTGACAACTATCTGGCAACTCTTGTACCCAAGCCAACCCCAAATGTAATGCCTTGTATTCCTTTGGATCTTTTTGGTACAGCCAAGAGGTCGGTGGGGGTATGTATTCTGGACAGTACACAGCCTCCATAAACCATCAACCAGGTCTGCTCACTAGAGCGGTCACTCTATAGTTTCAACAGCAATGAGATGAATTTTGACCAAACAGAGTGGTACCTTTATCTAGCAAGATAAACAGATGCTTACTATATATATATATAAGATAACATATACACTTCTATACATCAGACTAATGGTGAATAATTACAAAAATTAAAATTTGTTAACATTTCTCAATGGAAATTGCAACCAGTATTGTATTGTCCCCACCCCATATACATATATATATATATATATATATATATATATATATATATATATATATATAAAAAAAGTTACTGAACTGATTTCAAGTCACTTAAATTGGACATCCTTTACAATGGCCAAACTGAAT